GCAGAAGGGGACAGGAAAGCTGGTGATAGGGAACCCAGGGTTGAGTAAGGATAGTGTTGATGTGTCGTGAGGTTGTTAACCATTGTCATAGGGCAACATGTGTACTAACTGTTTAATGAGGAACTATTTTGATCTGTAAACCTTCATCTAAAGTGAGAATAGCAGCCCAATTGGAAGAGTGTAGTCGGTGTCACTGAGCTGTGCATGCAGAAATTTTTGAAATGGTGTGTCTTTGGCTATGTGTATTTTCACCAAAAAAAAAAGGTCGCGAAGGGAGAGGGTTGACATGTCATGGGGTGGTTAACCAATGTCATAAAACAATATGTGGACTACTGTTTAATGATAAACTATTTGTTCTGTAAACCTTCACCCGAAGTACAATAAAAAAAATTAAAAAAACAAACAAAAAAGCTGCCCTATAGTTCTGAAAAGCTTGTCCAACCAGTTTCTTACATTTTTTGCCACCCATGATTCACTTACAAGTCCTGAAGTCTTTTCTTCTCCAAGAACTAATAGAAAAAGAAAATTTTTCTCAAGCTGTAGCCTGTCTTAACATGACTTACCAAGATTCCCTTATTGTCAAACCCATTTAATAGTGCAGCATCTATCTGAATACCATTATTAAGTTCTTTGCACTCCATGTATCCATGTATCTAGATAACAAACATATTGTGAGTGTGAGTAGTCTAAAGGAGTGGATCTCACACTGGGGTTCATGGATAGAAATCAGGGAGTCTGTGACCATGGATGGGGAAAAAAGTCTATGTCTTTGTTTTCGCTAGCCTCTGTCTTAAATTGAGCATTTTCTACTCTTATGAATGTAGGCAGGACCTGTTCATACTGTCATATTCCCAGCATGTAGCACAACGCCTAGCGTGGATGCTCAGTAAATATTGGAAAAGAAAAGAAAGAAGAGGTGGAGAGAGGGTGGTTGGAATATGCGAAGATGGTAGAATCTAAATACTCATTTCCTACTCAGTCCTCCTCTACTTTCAACAGTAATAACTACTTCATGAAATGATTTTACCTCCTAGTTGTGTAGTACGTTAGTTTTAAACTGTGTTGTGTGCCCTCTTTAATTTGTTCTACATAATAATCTTGTGAGATAGGAAGTATAGATATTATTCTCTTTATTTTACACATAAGAAACTGAGGCTAAGTGAAGCTAAATTGTCTTGCATGTGGTCTCGTTTCTAGTAAGTCTCACAGCTAAGGCCAGAACCTCAGCCTTTTTGAATACCTAGTTCAGTGCATTTTTTCCTTTCATCAAATCACCCTTAATATAAATGTTGAATCATATTATTAAAAACCATCAGTTTTTAATAAAATCCTGGAGCATGTCCATGGTCAGGAGGCAGCCACACGTTTTTTGGAGGATTTCCATTTGGCCTCAGGGCATACCAGGCTGGCTTCTGGGACTCCGTTCACTTGGCCATGTGAGGTCAACACTTTGCATTACAGCTTTAATAATCCTGTGTTACAGCCTAAATAAGCTTCCTTTAGGACCGGGAAGATGACTCCATTGGACTAGGAATGCCAGAAGTTATTCCTCCAACTTTGAATTCTGCAAACCTATATGTGTACCTTATGCAGTATGACAAGGTAGATCCAGAGCAGGCTTTGAAAGAAGATGGATTTAAGCTGTGTTCTAATATTGGCTCCCATATGAGTTATATATGAGACATTGGGAAAGTTATTTAACTTCTTAGAGCCTTGGTTTTCTGATCTGTAACATGGCAGAGACAAATACCTACCTCATAAATTGCAGGAAATAAATGAAATACAAAATACATGTGAAAATTTCAAGCATAGGGACCAGCACATAATAGGTACTAAGTAAGTGAATTTTAAAAAAGAAACAAAATGCCTGTGATTTCTTTCCAAATCAAAAGTGTTCGAGATTTCTGCTTCTAATGATCTAAGACTTACTGACAACCTCCTTATGTCTACATAATCACTGCATTCCCATCCAATTAGTCATTTCTCGTAAACAAGTTTGGATTCATGGAGTAGAAAAACTCAAGTTGCATTTCAATTCTGTTCCATTATGTTAGTCCCGAGGGCAAATGAGAATTCACATTCCTTCTATTTGAAGTAACTTGTAATTGTACTTTTCTCATTTCCTCTTTTATGAGGTTAGAATTACTTATTTCCAGTTAAGTACATGAGCAGTATTATTTTGCATTGATTCTAACAACATCAAGATGACATAGGCGTGGAATATTACTATGAAAATAACTGGACATTTAAAATATGTATTTCTAATTGTTATATTTTTCTACATATATTTTGAAATATAACTGTCAAATTCTATTTCAGAGACACAAAATATTATAACTGGAAGAGTCCATAGAAATTTATATAGAGATTATAAAATGCTGTCAGTTTACAAATAATGAAGTGATTTGCCTAAGGTTGTAGAGTTAGTTTTCTGTAAATCCAGCTCTGTCTAAAAAATCACAGTCATTAATATGCTTGCCTTATATCTGATTTATTTATTTAAATCAGAAAATTATGGAGAAGAGGACTGTTTGATTAAGAGGCAAGAAAATCTTTTTGTACGTTTCCAGTTTGGTGAGGGAACAATGAAAACAGCTTTCTCATATTCATACCACGTTGCCTTTCTGAAACCAAATGGAAAATTTCGCAAAGCTTATGTGTTTCACTTAAGCATTTCAGGTAATTGGCTAGCACTTTTAATAATTTCACATTAAGTCATTGCCTTTTTAAAAATAACATCCCGTTGTTTTATGTATTATAATTTGTTTATTTTAGCAGATTTTTATAAATTTATCAACTTGTTTCAAGGATCCTAACATGTATTTGCTTGGTACTTGATTATTTAATAGCAAGATGTCAGATACTACATTTCTAAAGTTGAAGAGGCTGAGAAACATTTCTCCTGACCCACAAGAAAAAAGAAAACCTTTGAAGATTAAAAAAAAAAAGTACAAATTTATACTCACTAGATTTAGAAACTAAGAACAGGAGACAAACTTTCCTCAGTAATTTCAAAAACTATATGTTAGAATACGCTTAATTTCATAATATGATAGACCTAAGACGAAAGACTACTTTGGTCACGATTTGCTGTTAACCAGGGCTGTGGATTTCAGAAGATTAACTACCTTGTTAACATTTCCCTTTGGCATGGTGATTAACTGTTCTTAGGCCATTAAATGTTCTTTATTTTTAAACCTGGTAAGGATCAGATTAAGGAACCCTGGTGGTACAGTGGTTAAGCTCTTGGCTGCTAACCAAAAGATGAGCAGTTTGAACCTACCAGCTGCTCCTTGGGAGAATGATATAGCAGTCTGCTTCCATAAAGAGTACAGCCGTGGAAACCCCGTGGGGCAGTTCTGCTCTGTCCTGTAGGGTCACTGTGAGTCAGAATCAGCTCCACGGGTTCTTGGTTTGGTAAGGATCAGATTTGAAGGGTATATACACTGTACTTTCTGAAGAAAGAGGTTCCAAAAGTTTATACCTGGGCCACAGTAACATTAATTACAACCATATTATTTGAAAGCCTAGATAAGTTAGCTAATATACTGCAGATAACTAGTTGCCATCTAGTCAGTTCCGACTCTTGGTGACTCCATGTGCATCAGAGTAGAACTGTGCTCCATAGTGTTTACAATGACTGATTTTTCAGAAGTAGATCACCAGGCATTTCTTTCAAGGTGCCCCTGTGTGGACTTGAATCTCCAAGCTTTCAGTTAGCAGTCAAGCATGGTAACTATTTGCACTACCCAGGGATTCCATACTGCAAATAGAAAAGGGTCGGTTTGTTAAAAAAAGAAAAAAAAAAAAAAAAAAAAAAACAAACCCTTTGCTGTTGAGTCAATTCCAACTCATAGTGACCCTATAAGACAGAGTAGAACTGCCTCATAATTTTTCCAGGGAGCAGCTGGTGAATTCGAATTGCCGACCTTTTGGTTAGCAGCCAAACATTTAACCACTGTACTACCTAACCTGTTGCCATTGAGAACTGCCCCATAGGGTTTCCAAGGAGCATCTGGTGGATTCCAGTTGCCAACCTTTTGGTTAGCAGCCCAGCTCTTAACCACTGCACCACCAGGGCTCCACTGCACTACTGCTTCCCCTGGAACAGAAAACACAGAATTTTGGAGTTAGAAGGGATGTTAGATCATCCTAGTATAATCATTTCATTGCAAGCTGGGGAAACAGGCTCAGAGAAGTAAACTCTAGTATTTATAAAGATGTGTGTGTCTATGTATTTGTGCACAGATTCTGATAACTAACTATCGTTTTTCTACCTAAGGAGATGGACCTAAAAGTATATCTTGAAATTTGGATTTAAAAAAAGAGGATTTTCTTGCACAATTGTGGGTTATTAGATATTAAAATGGTTTACAAAGAAAGCTTGTGTGTATTTTACAAGGAGAAAGTTGAATTACCTTAGAGCTCTGTCATTCTAAGAGTTCATGAATTTTTCACTATCTGAAATGGTTTAGCTGAAATCCTACCCAAAGGAGAAAAGATCAAATAGACAATAAGTTAATTTCTTCTTTGCTTTTTTTTTAATGAATTGCTTTGTTCATTCAATAAGTCTTCATTGAATGACTAATGAATCAAATGTTGAGTCAGATCCTTCATTTATAGACATGCACCAGACATAGTTCCTGGCCTCAAGGATCTTCCAAGCTAAAATGTACAACTTTCTGTAGAAGTTAATACAGAAAAAAGTGATTTCTTTGTAGACACACCTAGCCAATAATTGTTAAGGCAAAATAACTGTGAAGTGGTAGAATTTTTATATGTGTATATATATGTGTGTGTGTGTGTGTGTGTATGTGTGTATAGATATGTGTGTGTATATATATATGTGTGTGTGTGTGTGTATATATATATATATATTTTTTTTTTTTTCCTTTCAGGTCAAACGCTGTTCAAAGTGGTAATCAAATCTCTTTCACCTAAAGAGTTAGTCCGGATTCATGTATCTAAACCATTGGACAGGAATGATGGAACATTTTTGATGAGATATAGGATGTATGAAAGTGTCAGTGAAGGACTGAAGATAGAGGTTCTTTATGGTGATGAACATGTAGCTCAGTCTCCCTATATTTTGAAAGGTAAGTGATTATTACATAATCCAGAATCCTATTTATTTACTGGAAATTCCTATAACACTGTGACAGATATATTACCAGGAAATAGTACATAGGATCAACTTTTAGAACCTTTTAGACCCTGAAATTGACAGAACATAGTCAGTCCCTTCCCAATGACTTTGCCACTACTATTTGCAGAGGTTCCCTATTTGGTAAGAGAACCCATAGCTTTTTGATCTGCCATTATCTTTGCCCTCAGATGGAGGACTTCACGCATATGAGCTTGTTGTTAGGAAACAAAGGAATAAAAAGAGATGAGGTACTGTCTTCATTGTTCCATCTCAATTCATTTATGGTCTAATTTTCTGGGTGTCCTGTGAGTTGCGTGTTTTTTAGAAGCAATGATTCATGCCTTCTGGTGTTCCATTAAACTTTAGAGGGTAGCGTGTTTTCTAGGCAACGTGGGCTGTTAAAGTCTTAGCCGTGTGCAATGGCAGTAAGAGAACAGAACAGAAGGTCATAGTCTGGGAAAATTTTGTGCTAAACCAAGCTTAAACCAAGCTTTGTAGGAGTTCTAAACCCAAGAGTTATCAAGCAGTTTCATTTTTTATGGCTATTCTAGATACATTTTGTTTGGTGTTTGTTGTACTTCAAAGAGAGAACATAATTACTTTCTGAGTTTGAAGGTAATCTGTTTCAAATACTGATTTTCTTTCCTTAGTAGCCAGTGAATGCTCCAGCTCCTGTTTGGAAGGTGGTTGGCAATACCAAAGTCCATGATTAGGAGGGCCATTTAGAAGCCTTTAATATTATTAGAAAAAGAGCCAGCCTAATGTATAGGTCTGTTGCCTTTCAGAATGGGTTATGATGACCTCCAAGGCATGTATAGCAGAGTAAACTGAAGTTCACCTTTACTTGAAATTTTAAGGGAAAGCAAACTAAGTAATTTAAAGATACTTAAATAATAAGAAAAAAATCTTGTGTATTTTATTCATGTAGTTGCCATTTCTGGGATCCTCATTCCTTCGTGTAGATCCATATTTCCATCTAGTATCATTTGCCTTCTGCCTAAAGGATTTCCTTTAACATTTCTTTTAGTGAGGGAATGCTGGTGATGAATTCTTTCAGCTTTTGAATGTCTGAAAAAGTTTTTTATTTCACCGTCATTTTTCAAACACATTTTTGCTAGGTATAGAGTTGTCGGCTGACAGTTTTTTTTTTCTTTTAGTACTTTAAAGATGTTGCTCCACTGTTTCTTGCTTACCTTATTTCCAACAGTAAATATACCATCATCCTTATCTTTGTTTCTCTGTATTGCTTTTAAGGCTTTCTCTATATCAGTGGTTTCGAGCAGTTTGATTATGATGTGCCTTGTTTAGTTTTCTTCACAAGGAGTTCTTGGATCTTTTGGTTTATAATTTCCATCAAATTTGGAAAAATTTTGCTGATTATTTCTTCAAGTACTTTTTCCACCTTGGCCCCTCTTTCAAGGAGTCCAATTATTCATATATTAGGCTTAAAGTTATCTATGTGTTTCATTTTGTATAGTTGCTATTGCTATGTATTTAAGTTAGTAATATTTTCTTCTGCAATGCCCACTTTGTCATTAGTTCCGTTCAGTGTATTTTTCATCTCTTGATGCTTTTTTAATCTCCTTGAGCATTTTTCTGGGATGCAGTTAAGTTACTTGGAAATAGTTTGATTCTTTTGAGTTTTGCTTTTATGATTTGTTAGGCAGGACCAGAGCCATGTTTAGTCTAGGGCTAATTATTCCCCACTACTGAGGGAATACTCTTCTGCATACTCTACCCAAGGCCCTGTGAAATAGATTTTCAGTCTAGCTGGTGTGAACAGACACTATTCCCAGCCCTGTGTGAGTGATGGTACTATTTCCTCTAACCCTGTTGGATAGTTCTTTCCCAGGCTTTGGATAGTTTCCTCACGTGTGTGTTTATCAGTACTTAGCTGAGTATTTGAGGGGGACTTTCTGCTGATCTCTGGGGTTCTAGCTCTGTGAAACTCTCTCCTTCTAAGTCTTTTGTCCTATGTACTTTACTGCCTTGGTCTTCCTGGACTCTTAACTCTGTGAAATGTCGAAGAACAAAATTCTTACTCTGTTAGGAGTAGAAAGAAGTGAGTTTTATTGAGGAATAGTACACCTCAAGTTGGGTGACACTAAGTGAAACACTGAACATGAGGCAAAAGTGAGTTTTTATACACAAAGTATAAAACAGTTTTTTCCATTAGCAGTTGATCACATACTTCCTGAAAACAGGCTATGCAAGCACTTTTTAATAACCTCTTCGTCACATGCTCCCTGGAATATCTTTAGCAAATGTTTTCTGAGAACAAAGAACAACAACATAGTTTTGCCTCTTTCCTTGATTGCCCAAGAGGACTCCAAGTTAACCCATTACTATGAGCTCAGTCCGAATGCCTCTAACTTGAAGTTCTGCTAGCACATTCCTTCTTTTTGATCAAGACCTTGCCAGGGGGTTGCAGATCACCCACAATGAAGTAGTCTTTTTTTCTGCAAGGACTTTATCTGCCTTCCTCAAGGGACTTTGGTTTATTTCAATAATTGTTTTTCTTCACCTTGCCAAGTTAATATGCCTCATCTTCAGGGTGAGTTGATTTCACTGGGGTCATTGTAGCAGACAAGGCCACACTGGAGGAACAAATTCAGATGGAGCTCAAACAATAAGAGTCAAAATGGAACATTTTGGGAAATAAAGAAGGTTCATCAAACAAGTCAGTCATTAGTAAAAATAGAAAAAAAATTACCTTGAATTTGTGGAAGGGATCACTTAAGCTGGTTATTACATAGTGTATGTCTCTCTGAGATACATAATTCGCATAGCAAGGGGGGGTCCTGTTTTGATTACAAGCATTAGACAAACATTTTATAAAGCATTTGATTAGTCCTATAATAATTATTATAATAAATCAAGATGATTAATCCAGTCTACAATATAGAGTGCAACAAAGATCCAGTGTCTAAAAAGAGAGAATCGGGCATCAGAAGGTAGTGAATGTAACCAAGTAGCTTTCCTGCAAATTTTTCTGATGTCTTGTTCTGCTTCTTCTGTGTTATTTATCTAAGTGCAACAAGAGATACTGCTAATAACACAAACTCCTCCTTGTTGGGTTAGAAGAAAAATCAAGAGCTATTCTGTTATCTAATATAACCTTAGCAAGAGATTCCAAAGATTTCTGTTGTGCTGGCTTTCCATCTGCAATATTATCAGCAATTTGAGCCATTGTAGCAGATAAGTTGTGGATAGATTTTTCAAGCTGGGGAATACCACAGTTAGGTAGAAGTGCTCAGAAGAACACTCATCCCATCCCAGGTTTCTCAGCTATTGGGTTAGATGAATTGGGCAAATAGTCTCTCTTTTCCAAGTGAGAATTTTTAGATCACTAGTCCAGTGTCTACTTTCATTATAGAAGTGGATATTCAAAGAAACTCCTAAAAGCCCTAATGTGCGTTGACCCATCAATCTCCAACCATCCAAGCAAGGTAGTGCCCAGGTGTAAGAGTCATTGCTTGGATTTTGTTCTTTGTGGGGTAATTCAATCCCCCACACAAAAATACATACCTATCAGGGGCAAAAATCATACCACTTTTAGTATCATTGTGTGGGGGAGGAAATGGATTGATTAACTTGTTCAGTCCAGTTTTCTGTTAATGAATTGCTGTAAGCAGAAAATAGTCCCAACTGTAATGGGATTGCTTGTTTTAACAGTTCAGTGCAGGAAGAGGAGCGGGGACTATTGGAGCAAGAAGAATCGTTTTTAGGTGAGGTTGATCAACCAAACCATTTTTGAGTCAAATTAAAGCATGGTATCTGAGGTTGATCGAACAGTCCAGGGAGATGCCGTAGTCTGACACATATAGCTCGTTTGAAAGTAGTGCTGAAATTAACAGTAGTATTGGGTACAAGATTTTAGTTCAATAGAGGTGACGCTAGTGGGTCTGAATTTTCATGCCCGCATCACAGGTGGGGATGACAGATCCAACATTCAGTCACGTTACTGGCACTAGCTACTGATCAAGTTAACTTAACAAATGCATTTTCTCTACAAGTGCTAGAATGAATTGTTAGGAATAGAAGAATAAGGCTTAAATGAACCTTCACTTTGAATGAAATTACCATGGAATAAGACATCAGGTATACAATAAAACTATTAAAAATATCTACTACTATTAAACAAAGTCCACAAACTTCAGCAACATGTAAGAGGCCTTATTTTGTAATCTTGGGACTGTCTACCTCAGATATTATATGCTTCTGGCCACAGGTAATTTTTAAGTCCCCAGAAGGCTGACTAGTCCAAAGAGGAGATTTGGCTCTCTTGAGTAGTGACAGGTGGATCCAAGGTTTAACTCCTTTAAGCTTGGCTGCGCAGGGATTGGTGAGAAGAACTAGGTATGGTTCCTCCTAACGAGGTTCATGTTAGTTCATGTTAGTTGATGTCTTTCCAATATACATATTCTCCCAGAGCTGTGTTAGGCAGGCTTCAAGAGTCCAATTTTTGTTCACTAAAGGCTTCCCTCACCTGTGAAAGATACCCTGTAGAATATTGGATTAAAGAGTGACAATATTTTAGTTGCACAGATTGTACAATATTAGAGTCAGTGCAAGCAATATAAGGGAGGACAATAGGCCTTCCAGTGACTATTTCATAGGGGTAAGTTTGTGGGATCCAAATAGTGTAGATCTCAGGTTTAAAGGAGCTAAGGAAAGAACCTTGGTCCGGGACAAATTTAAATCTTCAAAAAGTTTCGTTATTTGAGTTTTTATAGTCCTATTAGTTCTTTCTGCTAGTTCAGAAGACAGAGGGTGATAAGGGCAATGTAGTCTTTGATAAATGGGGAAAACTCAACATAGCCCTTGGATAACTTGGCTGGTAAAATGAGTTCCCCAGTTGCTACAAAGAATTCTTGGTGTTCATCAGATGGGTATGATGTTTTCAAGGAGCTTCTTTGCCACAAAAGAGGCAGCAGCACGACAGCAGGG